CCCAGCAGAGTGTTGCGCCGGAGAAGGTTTATCAGAGCTCGGACGCACTGACTAAATTCACGACCACTGGAGTTGTAAGTGCACAAGCTCATCAAAAGATTACTTTTTTTTTTTTTCAGAACATGCAAACAAGCTGATATTCACATTCATATAAGCAGAATTGTAAATAAGAAGGTTCAAATTTAATCTCAGCTATAGTGTATTCTTTTGTGATAACTAGTGGCGTAGCTTTTTTTTTTTCAGTTCAATGAACTTACACTTTAGCAAACTTTTTTTTTTGTGGGGTCCCCTGAGTTTCGTTCAAGGGAAATTTCACTGTATCCGGTATTTTGCTGTAAGAGATCGAAATACGCCGTTTCGTTGTGCGATTCACAGCTTCAACTGATCTTCCGGAGAATAAGTGTAGATCGGAGAATAAGTGAAGCTTTCCACCGTGTTGGCAGTGGGCCCCGCCACGGTGGTCTAGTGGCTAAGGTACTCGGCTGCTGACCCGCAGGTCGCGGGATCAAATCCCGGCTGTGGCGGCTGCATTTCTGATGGAGGCGGAAATGTTGTAGGCCCGTGTGCTCAGATTTGGGTGCACGTTAAAGAACCCCAGGTGGTCAAAATTTCCGGAGCCCTCCACTACGGCGTCTCTCATAATCATATGGTGGTTTTGGGACGTTAAACCCCACAAATCAATCATCGTGTTGGCAGTGGAACAATATGGTAGCCTAGATGACGCCACACGGATGCGATACCTGCCGTTATTGGCCGTGCCTGCTGGCTTCCGCGAGCGTTTCTCGGATGCAGCGGTATCGCCAGGCCTCGTCTGGGCCGACGGGCAGGAGATCGTGACGCGAGAATGAGGGAGACCGTTGTAGGTGAATGGAAAGGGGATTCAAGAAAGAGAAAAGGCACTGAACGGTCAAGCCGGAATGCCCATAGAAAAGAAGGCCTCGCAAAAAACGCAGCGAGGGTGAACATTTTAGGAGGCCGATTGAAGGAGGGGTGCCGCTAGGTCTGCCAGCGCCACCCTTCGCAGGAGAGCGGGGTGGGCCGTTTTGTTATTACGCAAGCAACGGGTACAACGATGGTGTGGCCGGCGGCGGGACTGACCGGCCGGCCGGTCGGCATTTCGGGCGACGACGGCGACACGTCGCTGCGCCCGCGAGGCACAATTTCCCCGGTCTCCTTCTTGAGCACCGTGGCTTCTTTGGCGCGCTCTTCCTCGATAACACGTTCGAGGTATGCGCACACGTGACCCATCGCGCGAAACGGGTCGCCCAGACACGACTTCCCAGCGGTGGCAACGTTTATGTTGTGTACATACGCGATGCAGGTGCACGAGCGGCTCGTTCAGCGCCCCTGAACTTGGCGTTTTTTCCCCATTCGCCGTAGAAATACCCATCAGCGCAAGTGAAGTCCTAAGGCGTGAGTTCCTCGTAGAACGCGTCGACGAAGCTGGGTTGATTGTGTTGCTTCTGACATCTGATTAATTCTGCTGCATATTCCTTTATGAACATGATACAGCGAAGATTCTTCGAAGGGCGATATAGCCTATACAACGAGCTAAGCCTGATGTTAGAGTGCTGCACTTGAACTGTAAGAGAGATCGGAGCCTTTATCGAACGGCCACGTGGTAAACTCTCTCTCTCTCTCTCTCTCACACACACACACACACACACACACACGCACACGCACACGCACGTACACACACACACGCACACACACGCACACACACACACACACACACACACACACACAAAGTTGACATATTAATTACCGACATGAGTGCAAAAGTCGTTGCTTACGTTTAATAATTTATGGCATACCAGGTGTACAGAAATTTCAAAAGTTGCTCGTAGTTCGGGATATTCGTCGGCGAGTTTCAAGGGCGGAAGTCGAAACTGATCACGACCGGCGCTCACGAAGCGTCTGTGTGGTCACATCGGAACTGCCCGTTGTGACGTAATTAGTTGCGACGTAATTAGAGTGAGGGCGCGTTGAAGCAGTATTCTGGGCTGCAAAGTCGGCGAGCGTTCTGAAATTCACCCTTTGACATTTTATTTGTGTGCCATCTGTAGCGCTTATCTGTTTCTCAAACTGTAAATAGGCGGAAAAATGATTTGTTTCGCATGCCTCCACGAAGATTCGCCGAAGTGGCTGCCTATAATTTTTATGATCGTGCTCGTGTCTATTGTGGGCCAAATAAAGTTCGCACTCACTCACTCACTCACTCACTCACTCACTCACTCACTCACTCACTCACTCACTCACTCACTCACTCACTCACTCACATAGAAAGGCTTGATATTGCGATTTTCCTGTGCACAGCGCGAAAGAAACAGATAAGAGGCAAACACCGAGCACACGCAGAAGTAAGGTGATCCACTGAAAAGATACGGCTGCGGCGCCTTCATTAAAATTTTGCCACTTCTTTTTCACGGGTATACTTCCGGTATGACTTAACAGAACGCTCGCGGTGCGTGCGCGAACACTCTCTATTTCGCCCTTTAAATTCGGTGACAAATATCTCGAACTGTGTACAAGTTTTGTCATTATTAAAAAGTGATTGTGCCTCAAATTGGCAAGCACTGCAAGTTTTTATTATTAGTCAATAATTAAGAATGATTAACGAGCTTTTGTTGATTAGTCGTAACAGTGTTATTTTCACTGCTGCGAAATATTTTCGCCTCGGGATGGAGTGGGAGTGCGAAAGCGACAGGAGTATTACTGTCAAGGGATATCTATAAAAAAAAAATTAACAGCATATCCACGGAGTGAATGATGATTGGTGGGGCGAAGCGTTCGTCTGTCTGTCCGTCCATGCGTCCGCCCCTGTCTGTCTGTGCGTCCGTCAGTCCGTCCGTATATCTAGTGAACACTCAAGTACAGCCATCTCACATGTTTTCACCTTGTATTCATCATATACAAGTGCCACTATCCAGCGGACATTCTAAGGACCGCTCTTTCGGGTATGTGCTACCGGTGGCTACATACACAATCGGAGGAAGGACAGACCCACACCCTAAGGAGCTTTGCCTTTAAAAAAATAAGGCAGTTTCGTACTAGTGGACACGAGCACGTGTGGAGTTAAAAATCCTTTTTTTGTTTATGTTCTGTTTTGTTTTTTTTTTTCTTCTCGCTTTTCCAGTTTTTTCTGCCATTTTTTCTCTCTCTTCTATTCTTTTTACTTCATCGCCAAAGCACTCTGAAAGCAAGAGGTGGAATGCGTCTCTTTGGCACGAGCGGGTGCTCAAATGGCCATGCTACAAGTGGTTCTGCCTGCGTTACGTCGAGGGGTGACGAAAGCACACGATTACAGATTACAATAGCCGCGCCCCCTGAAGTACTCGGCACTTAGGTATCTTTAAACTACTTGTACATGTCTCTATGCAATCTATATGGCTAATGTCACTCAGTATGTGGCTTCCTTTGGTACATAGGCAAAGCTGCATGCGCCATCTAGCCGGTTGCCGAGAAAACTCTTCCATTCTGACGGACGAGGAAATGCTGACGAAACGAGGCAACGCTCCGCGTAGCATGACATCACGGCGCACGACCTAGAAAAATATAGAAAAAAAAAGAAAAAGTGCCTGCGTGTACAGGAGAACGCGGGCTGCTTGCTTTCGCCCCGCGAATCGCCGTACAGTGGGCCTCGGCATAATAATGTATTCAGCTACCACATTGAGATGGGCGTGCCCCGTCGATAAGCGCCGATGTTGAGCTACAGGCGTTGTCCATAGGCAAACATTCACACGCTCAGACCGTTCGAGCATCGCTTCCCGTGCAAAGGTGCTTGCATTGTCTGCTAAGGCGGCCCTTTTGGCAATGTATTTTTTTTACCGCTTGAGATCTCTCTCTGGAGTGTTCGCCATTAGCGAAGGAATTGGTTTCTGAAAATACGGAAGTATTCGTTGCCTTGAATTTTGCGCGCGGGCGGGGTTCGGCCTCGCATGGCGGAGCAGCAATTCAAGAGGGGCCGACATTGTTTCTTACTTGTCCCATATATTTTGCGTGCCCTTCTTGTACCGATGGCTCCCGCTTTAGTGGATAAGCGTGCCTACGTGTATACAGATTTGACTAGCGAGTGGTCAGTGGTGGGCATATTATTTATTTATTTATTTATTTATTTATTTATTTATTTATTTATTTATTTATTTATTTATTTATTTATTTTATTCTGTATACATCCCTCTCCACGTCCGCCCTTGACAACTGAACAAGAGTACAGTATTACGATCAGTTTTTTTTTAATAACTCCAGTAGATACAGATGCATACCTAGAGAACGTCCGTTCAACGTCGACTTATTGCCACATAATACCGATCGTATCCATCTTAACCACCTCCTTTGTTCGAATCTATTTTGTGCCGGTGAAGGCTGACCTATATATGCTTTAAAAAAATATTCGATGAATGTAATTTTATTGCACCGGTAGTAAGGGTTACTATAGAATCTTGTTTATTCCAAACTATCTAACGCTTACTACAGAGGTGCACAAACTCGCATTTATGAATTACCACGTTTAGGGTGTACGCTTCATCCCCTACATGTATACGTTCCTCGTCTTGGCGATCCTCGTGGTCACGACCGGGCTTTTGGCCAGGGACGGATCCAGCCACTTATTTCACGAGGCATGCAGGGGATGGATGGTTGCTCGAAGTAATAACACGGGAGCGGGATACACCATCCCACTACTCTCTTATGTAATCTGCCAAACAGCTAGGACACCTGATGAACGCGGAAAGGACGAATGGGAGGGGGGAGTGGCGCTGTCAGAGGCATTGGGAAAAGGCGACTGCCCTTCCTCCCTCCAACGTATGCGTCATTCGTTCTGACCCGTAAAATTATGGTGTTCAATTAATGCTCCCTAATCCATCGTACATACATATACAAAGGCCGTGCTCACGCCAGGAGTTAGAGTGAAGAACTTTATTTTTCCTTCCACCTCCTGGGACAAGAACCCAAGCGGCTCGGGCAGAGGGTGGGTGTCGCGGCTCGCAGCTGTCAGCGACGGCGTCTGCGCGGCGCAAGGAGGCGACGTCGTCACGGGCCGAAGGCGACCGAAGCTGGTGTCTTGCTGCGAAAGGCGGCGAGGAACGATCCGAGCAGGACGAGGCTGGATCCGGTGCCGAGGGAGACGTAGAAGAAGGGCGTGGCCTGCACGAACACGTTGAAGATCCAGCCGAACGCCAGGATGGAGAAGCCGGACACCAGGGATATCCAGATGCACACCAGCAGAAGCGCGGCCAGCGACCTGCTCGACAGCAGGGGAACAAATTGGGTGTTATACGTTCCGAAACCATGGCATGACACTTCACTCGAGGGCTCCGGAAATTTCGACCATCTGGTGTTCTGTTGACGTGCACCGACATTGCACAGCACAACCCGCAACTTTCGGTTGATAGGATATAGCTCTGTAAGCGCCACACCTTTGCGGTGGACAAAGAGCGAATTGTGTATGTTAAGACAAAGAAATGCGCAAAGAACAGGTGAAACCCATGTGTAGCATTGTGCTAGTATACCTTGTTGAATACAGAAAGTTTAGATAATCTCTACCATGTACAGTGCTCTGCAACTGAAGCACGTATGTCTGTTGCCTCCGATGAGCGCTGAGCACACCGAGCTATATCATTCGTGATTGTGAGGCACACCGTTGTGGGGAACTCTGGATTAGTATATAAGACCTGAAAAGCCAACTTCAACATTAACTTCCAAGAAACATCACCTCATTTACTCATGCACAATGGCGTCAGTTGATAGGGCTGTAACACACGTGTCTCTATTGCGAGAGATATCTGGAGCTTCAATAATCCAATCTTTGTGCTTTGCCAGAACAACGAATGACTCATAAATTGGTGCGCGAACGCATTCCAAACAACGCGCAGACGAATGCAATAATTTTGTTTGGTACGTTTACACGGCATTTGGGAATATGTTTTAACTATAGACAACGCGAACGCAGTTTAAAGTTTTCTTCGTTCAGCGAACTGGGAGCGCAGAGAAAACACAAAGGACGAAGCGAGGAACCACACAACTCGTGTTGTGTGGTTCCTCGCTTCGTCCTTTGTGTTTTCTCTGCGCTCCCAGTTCGCTGAACGAAGAAAATGAATTACCAACTGGCCCACATCTTGATCCTTTTGCAGTTTAAAGGTAACACAATATCCAAGGTGCCTACGCATTATTTGGAATGCATTCGCACACTAATTTATGATTTATTCACTGTTTTGGTTAAAGCACAAAGACGAGATCACTGAAGCTCCAGATATATCTCGCAATAGAGACACGTGTGTTACTGCCCTATCAACTGACGTCTCTGCCCTATCAGTTGACCTCTTAGATTAAGGAGACAACCTTCCTGGTTGGCTAGTGATTGGACTGCTGTGGCGTCACTGTGCATGAAAAAAGGACTCGAAGTCAAGTCGTTGAAGTTAGCGCATTGTAGTGTCGTCTCCCTTACATCTTTGTCTGCTAATGCTGAGTATCTTCTCGAATCTAGTTTACCAACAGGCCATAACAATGGCAATGCTATGACAATCCAAGCTACCTGGTGTTCTTCAACGTGGACTTCATAAACGTGCACTTAAACGTAGGGCTGGTCTTTGCATATAACACCATCGAAGGGCGGCCTCCTGGAACCGAACCCGCGCCCTCGAACATAAGCAGCGCGATACATTCGTATCACTCCTCACCCTGATTACCCTTTCCCGCCCTCTTGCTATGCATACTATAAATAGCTATACTATGCTGTACCCTCTTCCCTTCTTCAAGAGCAACGCCGATTTTTTTGCGGCAGATTCGAGAAACATGGCTCCGCCGCGCAGTCTTGCCTGGCGAAAGCAACTGGCGAACAGAATGCGACTGCAGCGCCATCGCATCGCCGTGACGTCATGCTCCGCGGGATGTCTATTTATAGCGGAAATCGTTACGCAATGACTTTTTTTTTTTTTTTGTCACCGGGAAGGTGCGCGAACCTCCCGTAGCAACGCGTCCGTTTTTTTCACACGGAACGGGAGTAGAACAAAGCGTATAGGAAGCAATGCCACCATCCGGGAAGTCGTCCAGCGGCGCCAACCGGCAAGCACAGACAAACAAAGCAACAAAGGACTCCGCATCGGGCATATTGCGCATGCGCTGTGACGCTCACAACGTGTTACGCGAGCGCCGTGACAAGCCATGCACGTACGTCGTGCGTGTCGATGGCGGCGGGGAACGCCATTGTTTCCAGTGGGAACCGACGACGAACGCCTTAATTGTCGTTTGCTTTCGCGTTCGGCTCGCGGCGTTTCCCCGCTCGCGCGCGCCACGATTGGCAAGAACCGGGAAATTTCGCGCACGTTCTCGCAATCGGAGAAATCGCGCTCGTTCTAATATGAGCCACTTTGCGAGCATTGGGAGAATACACTGCTATACACTGCACAAGTGGCCTCCTTCACTTAAGACAGGCCAGTATTTGACAATATGCGAAGTGAATTTCTACAAACGCCCCGCCGCGGTGGTCTAGTGGCTAAGGTACTCGGCTGCTGACCCGCAGGGCGCGGGTTCGAATCCCGGCTGCGGCGGCTGCATTTCCGATGGAGGCGGAAATGTTGTAGGCCCGTGTGCTCAGATTTGGGTGCACGTTAAAGAACCCCAGGTGGTCTAAATTTCCGGAGTCCTCCACTATACGGCGTCTCTCATAATCATATGGTGGTTTTGGGACGTTAAACCCCACATATCAATCAATCAATCAATTTCTACAAACGAATATAGGCGTTTGTAGATCACAAATAATCATTTCTTTGAGCTATGCAAATGTGTTGATTCCAAATCACCAACTCTCCCAAGCATTCCTCTTATCAAGCCCTTTTAGTCACCGAATTCGGAGGAATCGGGTGACGCCCTCCTTTTAGAGCACCCCTATACCGTTCGCTCTATACGAAGACTCGCCTCACGTTACCGCACGGTCCACTTAATGGAGCGTTATAGCTCTAAGCTGTGCCCCTGCGCTGCCGCTGTATTACGCCTCTCAACCAACGGGAGCTGGCGTCGCCAAGAAGGCCGCTCCCTGTCGATGAGATTAGGGTTCCCGATAGCAGGTGGCGAGACGGAGAAAAACAGCCGCTGACCTGAATCGTCTGCTCGCGTGAAAGCGTGCGTCACCTTTTTTTATTTCTTGCGTTTTTTTTAACGCGCCGTGGAGACGCGCGCATGTCAGTTTCTTGACAATTAAAGGAACATTAAGCAGAAACAGAAACCTGGAGTATTACAAAAAGGCACACTTAAGGTGAGGACGACGCAGCGAGAAATTGAAAGGAAAATGATAGGTGTAGCCCCAAGGGACACGAATATAGTAGAGTTGGTCAGGGAACAAACCGCGGTTAAGAATATCATCGTCGAAATTAAGCAATGGACATGGGCTGGGCACGTGGTGCGTAGGCAGGATAACCGCTGGTCATTAAAGGTAACCGACTGGATTCCAACAGGAGGCAGGCGGGTGAGGGGGAGACAAAGTCTGGTAGGCAGATGAGATTAGAAAGTTGGCGGGTATAAAGTGGCAGCAACAAGCACAGGATCCTCTGCTTGTTGCTGAGTTGACAGCAATCAACCATCAACCACCAGTCAACCGAGTTGACTGGTGGAACATGGAAGAGGCATTTGCCCTGCAGTGGGCGTTCTCAGGCTGATGATGATGATGGTGAAACAAACAATGAATGGGTTTAGTTGATAAAGTGTACTTTGATAACCCCGATCCCGTCAACTTCACTACCATAAGCTTAATATTAAAGGAGAAATAGAGTTCAAACTTATCAAAATCGCGCCGAAAAATGCGCGCGTGACCTCATGAATTATGAAGCTACTTGTCTTATATTTTGTCGACATTGGCTCAACGACACTAGCTGAAACTTCGTGTGTTATGTCTATGGCCGCCTAAGAGGTCAAAGTACTTAATTTGTACAGATAAGGAACTACATCGTACGTAGCATGCGCCCGTCAAAATCTATATGACGTCGTGGCATTAGGTGTGGGAATGTCGCTTTGCCACCTGCATTTTTCTTTTCACACGTTTGCCCGCTTAGCAAGCGTTTTGTCGAGGCAAGCACGGAGATTTATAGATTGTGTCGGAGTAATTTAGTGTGTCTTTAAACCAATGCACTCTGTTCGTCGGAAAGAATCGTCCACTGGCCCGTCAAGAGTTTGGCTTTACGCTTTCTGTATTCAGGAATTAAGACATCACGTGAAGATAATGGTTGGACTTCGTTTTCCCTTTGACCGAATCTTTGATCCAATCATTTTCTCTTTGTGAAATTCGACAGTTTTAGGAGAGGAAAAAAAAATATTATAAAATCAGCCAATGCACGTCAGGAGAAAGTCTACCTCGCCCGCCATCCTCCGTACACTAGCAAATAACAGCCTTGTATAGCACATCGTAGCAAGAAATGAGAAAGGGAACTGAGCGTGAGGAGGAAAGGAAAGGAGGAGGGGAGGGTGAGTGTAGAATAAGAAAAGAAGACATCGAAAGAAATACAGAAAGAGAGAAGCAAAAAAAGAATGTCACAATAGCTCATAGAAGCTGTTCTGTAGCATTGTGCATCATACAACACATTTATTCCGTTGCATCGGTTTGAATACTAACGAGAGGATGCTACTAAATACGGTCGACCCGGCAAGTACAGGGTCGACCACATCATCAGGATGACTTCATTAGCATTATAACAGGTAAAACTAGAAATTTCGTTTGATGCCATGATGGAAGTATTCTTTTTTATATGACGTTTAATCGTGGATTCTGTAAACACAAAAACACAATACGTTTTCCGAATTCTACATTGGCTTTTTTGAAATCATGAATGCTCGACGCTAAGCATTCCCTTCGAAGCCTATAAAAGCTGGTGAGATTCCAAAGTATACCGCTATGTTCCGGGGCCATTTTCCATATTAATTGATTGATATGTGGTGTTTAACGTCCCAAAACCGCCATATGATTATGAGAGACGCCGTAGTGGAAGGCCCCGGAAATTTCGACCACCTGGGGTTCTTTAACGTGCACCCAAATCTGAGCACACGGAGGACAAAAACTTTATTCAACAGAGGAGTTTGGAGCACACAGGCTCCCGGGCCCCCGCACGACCCCTTTGCGCTCAAGCGTTCATTTGGTGGTGGTCCATGACGCTGGCAGCCCGGTCGGCCGCCATGGTCTGCTCAACCGGGTCCTCTGAGCGCAGTAGGGTCTCCCAATCCTTCCAAGTCTTTAGGTGCTCTAGGGCCCGCGGGGGAGGA